TCTCTGCCCCTCCTTTCTCTCTCTCTCTCCCTCCCCCCTCCTTTCTCTCTCTCCCTCTCTCCCCCTCCTTTCTCTCTCTCCCTCTCCTTTCTCTCTCTCCCTTTCCCCCCTCCCTCCCTCCCTTCCTCCCTCGCTCGCTCTCTCTCTCTCTCTCTCTCTCTCCCTCCTTTTCTCTCTCTCCCCCCTCCTTTTCTCTCTCTCCCCCCTCCTTTTCTCTCTCTCTCCCTTCCTTTTCTCTCTCTCGTCTCCTTTTCCTTTTTTTCTCTCTCTCTCTGCCCTCTTTCTCTCTTTCTCCTCTCATCTCCCTTTCCCCCTCACTTTCTCTCCTTCTCTCCCTTCTTCTCTCTTCCTTCCTTCTACCCTCCCCCCTCCCCCTTTCTCCCTCTCTCTCCTTCTACCCCTCTTCCCTACCCCTTTCTCCCTCTCCTCTCCTTTCAGGCCTCCCCCTCTCCCTCTCCTTTCTCAAGTACCCTCGTTCACACTTTCCTTCTACCCATCCTCCCCCTCAACTACCACCTTCTCAGGCTCTCTGCGTCTATGTATCTTTTTTCTCTTTATCTCCCATCCTCATTTCCTCCTTCCTTCCCTTCATTCTTTCTTTCGCTCTTCCGTCTCTCCTGCATTCCTCCCTCTTCCCCATCCATCCGTTCCTTATTCCTCCCTTTCTTCCTTCTTTCCCTCTCCCCTCTTTCCTCCCGTGTGCAACCACTTCGTATCTCCTATGCCATCTTTGCATCCCCTTTCTCGTAAACCACATCCGTATAAATTCCAAACTCCGACGTTTAGAAAAGCTAACAACCTTCGGGTTAGCTGCGAGTCATCCGCTCCAGCTGTATGACCTAGCAAAACCGTCCAAAACAAAGGGAGTAATGAAGAAGCCGAGAAGAAGAAAAGGGAAATGGTAGCAGCAGAAGAAAAGGCGTGAAGAAAAGAAGAAAAAGAATAATAATAATGGAGGAGCCCGAAGAGAAAGGAATGAGCTCCGCCTATAGTCTCGAGCGCCCTCCTACGTCCTCCTTCATTAGCGGGACCAAGAGGCGGCAGAAACGCCCGCGCCCCCCTCGCGCGCGCCGGGATTTCTCGTGAATGGCAAATGACGCGGGACTTTTCCCCTGCAGCCTTCCTCCCTCTGGATCAAAAGGCGGACTTATGAATGGCGGAGAACAAAAAAGACGCCAGCCCTTGTTCGCGTCTTGCCATTACGGGCCGGTCTGGGAAGTGTTGTGTGTGCCGTCTCGAGGAGCACCTTCTGGTGCGGCTGAGGGAAGATGGGGGGGTGGGGGTCTACCGTTCAAACATTTATAGTCCTACCATTGTACTTAATACGTAATGTCAATGAGAACAGCGATCCAGAGCTCTCAGAAGTCTAAGAATGGCGGTAAACACAAGGTCCTTAAAAACAGCCAAGTAGAACGGCAGACAGGGAGATCGCAGTTCTGCTTCTTCGCGTCTTACAATGATGTCAAGTGGCGCGACGTCGAAGTGATCAGCGGCCAACAGGTTCTCTTGGCAGACGGCGCCCCATAAAACGGGGCTCCAACCACGCCCTCCCCCACACAATGCCCGCCCACGATCTGGGGACACGCCTACAATCCTTCCCAAGCCTCCCAGCTCTTGGTTCCTTCGCACATTAACGTCTCTCGTTTCCTTTTGTCTTGTATTCCCTTCCGTCCCTTGCACCAATTATGTGGCACATTTTATCCCTCGCACTCATATCTACACACATGGTCCTTGTCCTAATTCATAGGTATCTGCGCATTCAAATTGATCTTAAACATGGAAAGAGCGTGCATAAATTAAAATGAAAGGATTTAGCTCGTGTAAACGGAATAGGCACATTCATCTTGTGGACACGTCAGATGACTATGCGAACGTATGGCAACCAAAGGTATAAATCATGAAAATAAATATAATTATGCAAATCTCCATGCAGTACATGCTCCCTGATGGGTGAGCCAACTATTTGTACAAATCAAGGTATTTCAAAATTTCAAGTGAACATTACAACTACAGTCATGTGCGATGTGGTGCGTAAGGTCCAGCGACCGCCGCAAAGTGCTATGCGAGTGCCACCAAAGTGCCACACCTCAGCCAACACCGCTCACGCCCTAATGATGATATTGCCCCTGTCTTATTTTTTAAAATACACGCGCACTCAATATCTCACAAACTCACTAATTCATTAACACACTCACACGCCCAATCACTCCGCGTGTGTTTGCTATATCTTGGCGACTGTAAACGCATTCCGAACGCCAACAGGTGGTGGCGAAGAGGCGGCAGGGGGGTGGCGGCTGAGGGTGGCCCCAGTGGGGGTAGGGTGTAAGGGTGAGAAAGTATGGAAACGACTTACCCTTCTTGGCCGGGCTCTTCTTGCTGGCGGCGGCTGAGTTTTGCTGTTGGTCCTGCTGCTGTTGCTGTTGCTGGCCGGAGTGGCCGTTGGCGGAGGGAGCACTGCCCCCCGCCCCGCCACTGCTGTCTCGACCATCACCACCTCCACCTGCAAAGGAGCAATATCCATCAGCATCTGTGGTGCGAAGGGGACATTTCGTCACAGTCGACACCTATGATAAATCTCGCGACACAATAAAATTGTAAGAACATTATCAGAGAGGTCATTCATTTTATTTCTTTCGCGACCCTTTCTTCCCTCGACGCGCTTCCTTTGCGGTGGCCTTCCGCCTGAAAAATGAAACTACCAAATCCTATCTTCCCTCACCCGAACGCTCGGCGCTGCCCTCCCACAGCCATCCCAGGCGCAGCAACAACCAAACGCGGACGAGAGTCGTTTTCCTCCTGCTCTGCCTCGCCCGCGCCCTCTCCTTCCCTCGCCGCCGAGGGCACCTCCGCCCATCACTCGGAGCGACGAGACATCCTTCGATACATCCTTCGATACATCCTTCGATACAAGCCTCCTCCCGCATGACCAAGGGCGGACCTGAAGATCCAATACAGCGCTCCAGCGATGTCTGTCACTGCGACTTTTGTTGACGCTCGCTTTGTTATTTCCGCTCCACTGTGTCCAATTTCCTCACTTTTTCTCATGGCCTCGTTACGACTCCACGCCCGCACGCGCCTCCTCCTGCGCCACGCACGCCCATCCCATGTCCTTTGGGCCCCAGGAGAAGGAGGGGCTTCTGCCGCTTAGCTTCTGCGAGGTGAAGGCCATAAGGATCAAATCGAAAACGGGAAAGAGGAGAGAAAGGGAGGGTACGCGAGGAGAGAAGCGCAAAAGAGAGGAAGAGGGAAGAGAGGAGAAGAACAGAGAAGGGAAGAGAAAGGGGGAAGGTGAAGGAGACTAGCGGGTGAAATCCACAGGAAGAGGGAAAGAAGGGAGAAGGGGAAATGGAGAGAAGCAGAAAAGAGAGGAGAGGCAAGTGAAGAAGAGAAAGAGAGGCAGCGGAGGGGCGGCAGCGACAACCCTTCTGACCCTTGATATTAAGAGGAGGAGAGGCTTTGCGAGGGCGTGTACGGGCGGCCCCATTTCCCGTCTCCTCCGGCTCGCACGTTCACACACTCCCCGCGGCATCACTCACAAGCGCAGGACAATCAATTTGTGAGAGAGGCTTCCCTTTAATGGATGAGTGTCGGGCTGGTATGCTATACTAATTCCGGGTGGAGGAACGCCCAGGAGTAATCTATACTGCTGAGCACAGCGCCCATAACTTTCGATCCCCCGCCCGTCGTCTCTTCCAATCGGCGTTGTTGGGCGTAAATGAGAGGCCTCGTGGCCCCTTGATTACCAGTCGTGTGACTCGCCGACTTTGCCCGGCACTCCTCCGCGCGGTCTACTACACGACCCGGCCTCCCCAACAGCCCAATTCTAAGCAATCAAGGGCTGCCGCTCAGAATCCAAACCAGGCCGTATTGAACTCCCCGGCCTAGGCGGGCCCAATCCTACACATCCTCCATCCCTCCCTTCTCCCCCGAGGATGTCTCACTTCTCCCCGCTCTCCCCGGCCGCCTCATCGCCAGCCTCCCTGCTCCATTATGCCACGCAGCGCCCGTGTAGGCTTAGGAACGAGGGCTCCGTGCCACAGGAAACGTGCGTACTCACACCAAAGGAAGGGAGTCACAGCTGGAATCATGCCATATTTGTCAGTGTCCGACAAATCAATGTATTAAAGCTGCTGTTTCACGAAATGACACTGCTTTGAAAGTAGTCATTTAAGCAGTGATGATTGCAGGTAACAGCTTTACCAATGTCAGTCTTTGGGTAATCTTTCACTGAGAAAAAAATACTTCACTTACATATTCCCTTGTTTTTGCATTCCTTTCATCTCTTCTCTCCTCTCTTTCACACAAACACCACTGAACAAAAGGGCATTAAAATAAAGCAATACTCATACAAGCGAGTCTGCATCTGGACAACGGCACTAACGGCTTAAACTTTTTCATTAATACTGAAACCTTGTTTACAACGACGCGAGAAAGGCCCACCGGCATTCGATGTCCCGAATTATCCTCTGCAAGTTAACGTCGATACTATAACTTCAAATAAAAAAATCAAAAGAAAAAAAATAAATGCATATATATATATATATATATATATATATATATATATATATATATATATATATATATATATATATATATATATATATATATATATATATATATATATATATATATATATATATATATATGTATGTGTGTATGTGTGTGTGTGTGTGTGTGTGTGTGTGTGTGTGTGTGTGTGTGTGTGTGTGTGTGTGTGTGTGTGTGTGTGTGTGTGTGTGTGTGTGTGTGTATATCACACACACACACACATGGAAAGGCTAAAAAAGACACTGAATATCATGAGTCTGTGGATAGCCGAGCCGCAAGAGAACTTCACTCAAACAGATTCATCCTTTCTGGATCTTTTCACAATCAATCAGAAAGCATCGTCCGCCAGCCCCCCCCCCCTCCCCCCTACCCACATCGGAGGGCCTGAGTCCCGCCAGACGCCAGCGCTTTCGACCTCCTCCTTGGAAGTTCGTCCTGGCGTCTCGCCTCGAAACCCACGAGAGCCCCGGAGTCCTCTTCGCTTTAATCTCCGAAATGAGACATCCCAGCCGGAGTTCTTTCGCTCGGTGTTTGCCCCGAGATCATTTTTTATCCCTCGGGCATCGGAGTCCTGCAGGGGAAGAAGACAGGAAAATTCCTTCCATTTTATAGTCCGCCGCAATATCCCGGAGACGTGATAAACATGGCGAGAGCGACACGTCCCTTCATCACGATTTTGCTTTTCCTTCCCATGTTGTTAATCACGCATAACACATATCTAAAACGCGGAAAACACTCAGATACACAGACAGCCTCACACACACACACACACACACACACACACACACACACACACACGCACGCACACGCACGCACGCGCGCACGCACACACACACACACACACACACACACACGCACGCACGCGCGCACGCACACACACACACACACACACACACACACACACACACACACACACACACACACACACACACACACACACACACACACACAGAGTAATAAAATGAGCAAAGGTTCTGTCGCGAGCAAACAAACACCGTCTAACTGACTCTTGGTTCTCAAGGGCAGTCCACCTTGGTAGCAGAGGCGGGGGAGTGAAAGAAAGAGAGGGAAGGGGAGATGTGGAGAAAGGAGAATTTCACACGCGGCGTGACATACGGCAGGACAGAAGTGGGATTGGAAGGCGACCTGATACGCGTTCAATAAAATCGAGGAAAAAAATCCGTTCCCTTCAGTTCCCTGCCTCCTTCTCCTAAGGAAGTCAAGGTTCAGCGCCCGGCTTTTGGCGCTGCCTCTTGCACACGCGGCCCAGTAACCGCCGCAGTGGGGGAGGGGGCGGAGGGGTCAGCATAACTCGCGCGGGGCTGAGTGTTTCCCTTTAAATGTGAGACGACGTGGCCTTTCCCTCCTCTCCCCACTCTTCCTCCCCCATCAGGCGGTGATACACAACTACTAAACTCGAAGGACGAAAGAGCGATGACGGGCTGACGGCGGTGGACGCGAGAGACCGAATGCTGTCCCTTTAAGCCGGAAGCTGATGGACACCCATTGCTTTCGGAAGAAAACAAATGCCGTTCGAGAGGGCCGCACTTTCAAAAATGTGTTACTTGGAGGGGAAAGGGTGATTTCGAGCAAGCCTTGGTCATCCCAGCCTCGTGCTTGCTCAGCAACCACCACCGACACCAGGCGATGAACAGTGCTACAAATCCTCCGCCGCTAATTGTTCCGACGTTCTGGCACAATGGGCACCGAAGGCGAGAAATGCGAGTGTGACGCTGTGCTGACACTAATTACATGGCTGGCCAGGGCTGTCAGCAGGTAACTAGAAAGAATTTGACCAAATTTATCATGTCGGTGCAAGCCCTGATACGTTTAATAAGTAAGGTCCCGTGTAAATATTTAATTCGACACTATGACGAAGTATTTTATTGAGAGTGAGCTTTTAAGAGGTGAATTTAACCAAATCCTATTATAGGTAAGTCCTCCCCTCAGGACATCCGAGTCTTAAAAATGCGAATTTCCAATTAACTCCGATGCTGCAGTCGCAGATGTTTGCAATACAACCCTGCAACCCGATCGTAAACTGTTATTAGATTTTTAAAGAAAGTAATCTAGTTGAGAGATACGCCATGATGCCGCACCGGGTCGAGCATTCAACCGTGAATTTGATGAAATCGAGCGTCTCGTCTGTGGCCGTCGGCGTCCCCAGAGCACGCCGACAGGAGCCACCATCACTAAAATACCGTTTTTTTTCGCAGAGCAATTAGGGGAAGGAAGCCTCGAGTCCTTCTCAGAACGAACATCTACTCCCGCGAGCGAACGGGCGGGCGGGCAGGGACCTTTCGCAACGGCGTGTCTTTCTGAACCCGCGACCGGAATGGCATGTCCATGCACATACGGCAGACCTGGGCTCACATCCCTACTCGCTCAACCTCGATCCTAAATCTTCCACCTGCGAGCGACGAGAGCAACAACAGCGATTTGCAAATAAAATGCAACCGTGGCAAGAAAACAAGCGCATCGAGAACGTCAAAAAGGCAAGAGCGGCGATCACTTAGCAGAGAGTGGCGCAGGGAGGCCGCCCCCGCGGGAGAAGCTCCCGCCTCCCGCTCGAAGACACCGTTCAGGAAATAACATGACTGTAAGGGCCGGGGAGCCACTCAGGAACACGCCGAAGGAGAGCCGCCTTCACCGAGGGCCTGGCGGAGGAGGACAGGTGCGGCTGGCAGGTCCCTGGCCGCGCACGGACAGCCACTCGGACGCTAAAGGGGGCGGGGAAAGGGACTTAGGGGGGGAAGGAAAAATAGGAAAAGTGTAAGAATCCTAGAGGGAGGGAGGGAGGGAGGGAGGGAGGGAGAGAGGGAGGGAGAGAGAGAGAGAGAGAGAGAGAGAGAGAGAGAGAGAGAGAGAGAGAGAGAGAGAGAGAGAGAGAGAGAGAGAGAGAGAGAGAGAGAGAGAGAGAGAGAGAGAGAGAGAGTTTAAAGAGCAATAAAC